CTTTTACTACGCTTACCGGTCCTTATTGTTTCAATATTGAACTTATTTGGTATAACTCCTTATTTGGTTCCAAAACGAATATAATGCATGTATTTTACATATTATACTCAATGACCTCATATGGTAGCGAACAAATACAAAAATAGTGATGTCGTTCTTATTATTATTTTTTTTTTTGTTATTTATTATTTTTTTGGTTACTTATTATTCTAAAGAATGTTAGTATTCAAGGAATTACAGATTTTTTTTTTCTTCAAGACACGAATGCTCATCTTTAATTGTATATTTTATGTGGGTTTTTTTTCCCACATAAAATATACAATTAATTTTTTTAAGTTTTTATACAATATACAATTAAGTTTTTTTTTTCTTGACATATATGTTGATTTACACTTTTCTAAAATTGTTTAGTTAGCTTTAAATCCTTATTCCGGAATTGCTTCTACACCATGATTTATATTTATGTTACTATTGTTATCACATAATGGAGTAAAACGAAATCCTAAAATAGAACGAGAAGCTCAAAGAGGCCATAACTAATTGTAAGACATTTCATTATACTGACAAATCCCAGTGTCATTAGGCAAGTTTACACGCTCTATATCTGGAACAAGACCAACTTATCTGACTTCCTGCTGACAGCGTGGCGCCCAAACATCTGTCAACCAGATGCCTCCGCCGCACGCTCTTTCGCGACCTGTATCTTCGCCGTTCCGCAGCTGCCATGGATGTTGCGGCAATCAAACTCCAATAGGAGGCAGGTGTCGCGGAAACCGATCGTCAACTTGCCAACTCCGGATTCGGGAGTAATTGCTCCGCTGATGATGGATGTAGTGTCCGTGGGATTCTACCATCCGTTTGTTTCCGAATACCATTAGTTTTGGTGATAAGTTAGATCTAATGATGGTGGAATAATTATTTATCGATCAAGAATCAAATAGATGTATTTAAAACATTATTATTGTGTATTATTTTTAAAATATATTTTAGTAGTCACTGTTGTTTATGTATAGATCTACACTCACGTTTGGCATAAGGTTATCTTGGCAATTAATGAAAAAAATTCCTAGAGTAAAATCTTTGTTTCATTCAACAAAAGAATAAATATTTATATGTGAGAACAATCTCTTGCATGACATCAATTATTTAAGCATCTTCCGAAGAGCCTTAAACTGAATCATTTGACGAGATCAAAATCACTTATAAAAATCCACTTTTGTGCCTAACAATTTTTTTTTTTTTTTGTCTTTTCGTTTTTATAGGTTGACAGTCGTTAGGGATGTATTTATGCAGTTTTTGTCAAAAATAACAAACTCATAAATGAATAAGTAATCACTGTTTGTATATTACGCTTCAATGAACATTTCATTATTTCTACCATTCTTATATGCTATTCATGTAACTCATAATATACATATATCCTTGAGGTAACTTAGTCCTAGAATTTGAAAGTCCTTAAACGTCACTCAACACGAAATAACTATAAATGATTACAAACAAAATAAGCAAAAAGCATGGTAAATAAAATGTCACACCTCCATATCTCACAGATATTTTCAGTCAACATAAAAAAGTAAAATAATCTTCCTCCTTCTCCTCTCCGGGATTGGAGTTTTACAGTCTAATTTCAGAAAACTCGTAGTGATTCAAATAATACGCCTGAGATTTAGTAACAACTTCCCACGGTACACTAAAATATCCACCATATTACCGAAATTGGAGCTTTCAACAAAATGGTAAAACTATTAATTTTTAAGTACGACAATGATTTGAGCTTGCATCAGTGTCTAAGAATTCCATTTTTCAAACAATACTAAAAGGGTACACGTACAAATGGACAAAATATACTCCACTAATCCAGTCATACTCCTTTAATTAGAATAATCCAGTTTATTTACAATGTTTTAAGGACAATAAATTAATTTACGGATAAACAGTAACAGACTCTTTTACTCCAATTAATAAATTATTTATTCAATTGTGATATATACGTATTTATTCTTGTATTTAAACTCTGTAATATGTTTTAAGTATTTTTCTGAATGTAGTGTAGTTTTTATTTTATTATATAGGTTTTTTGAATGGGTTACACAGCATAAAAAGGTTTCTGTCTGCTTAATAGCAAACACAGCTCTATTGTAACAATACAAAAAAAAAATAATATTTCTCAACTTCCTTTTTGGAGTTAGTCTTTAGTTTTTGAAATGAAATACTTCTTTCACCTCCTTCTAGATTTCAAAGCGTTGTTACTTTAAAAATAGTACCACTATATGGAAATAACTGCTGTAATTGATGACTGTGTTAATAAATCAAATAGAACACGCCGTTGACTCCATCCATTCCTACAATTTGTACCGGAAACAAACGCGAACAGCATGTGAGTTTGTTGAGTTGTTGAATATTCTTTTCTCCTTGATGTGTCTTTTTATATTTTTTATCAAGCTCTTGGATATAACGCTCGGAATCAATAGCTCTGCCATCTGGAACTGGTTCGAAATGCAAATCCTTCTGATATTCGTGCTTTGAGCATGTAGAATCTTAATATGTCGTATTAAGATGTCTATATTAAGAACCGCATAATAACTTAATTTGTGGTTCCAAACTTAACTACATTTTTATGCACATTTGCACTTGTTAAGCCTTTTAAACCTATCTGCACTAAAGATCACTGTGTTATTACTGAGTTATTACTCATTTTTTTTCAGGATTTTAAAAAGAATTCCGTCCAGTCCTGTAATACCTTCTGAGAATAAAATTCCGGATCACAACCGTTGCTTCATCTCTATACAAGTGGTAATTTAAAAAAAAAATCGAAATCTTTAGGAAAATTGAACATGTAATTAAAATTACGGAATTTATCTGACTAGAAATGTACTATTCCCTAAAAACAATTACAGCTTAGATACTGCGCGATGGTTTAAGATGTGGTTCCTTATAACTTTTGGTTAAAGTTGGCCCTGGAATTTAATTTTACCTCACTCTTTATCTCTCTTTTTTTTTTTTTTTTTATTCATTCTCCCAAATATTAAAACCTTTTATTAAAGCATTATTTTCTTAATAAGCTAAGTTTATTGTTTGAAATTCGGTTCTGCTTTTTTGCTTACACTCGCTTGCTTTAACTACAACTTTTGTGTGGGCTTGTTCGGCCAGTAACTGAAGATCCCCTCCAGTAGGCCGTTCTGGATGATCAATGCTCCAGGAGTACAGCCCTGCGTTTTACCTTCCCCTCTCATAACTCTCTCCTGTTTCCACCCTCCCTTAATTAATAGATATGAATATTATTAAAACCCTCCGACCATTTCATCTCCCCACTGAGTTGTTATTTTTTAGCCACAAAATCCAGTTAATCCAAAGAGGGCATTTTTCTCCTGAAAGTGGTTGTCTGTTGGTTATTTATCTTGAGAATTAACCCTATTTTTTTCTCTTATAAGGTGAGAGGCGTTTATTAAAATAAATTATTCCCCTTATGAAAGATTGATGATCTTATCTCAAGTCTATATTGAATAACCAACAAAAGGGCTATCGTCAAAATTTTAGTTTAACTAACACAGTATTTTAAATCATTTAGCACACATTTTTTTTGTGTACTCCCCTTCCTCGCCTCTTAGGCTATACGAGGGTTTTCTCGAATCAGGTGGTGAGGGCGGGGGATTAATGCCAGAGTTAAAAGACCCCCTGCACTGGGACGCGAACTCGTCACCATTTTATCATTTTATTTTGGTGCTGTGCACAAGCGTAAGCCCGCCTCTAATCATTTAGTAGGTACTTACCGGTTAGTAGTAGTATAAGGCACGAAAAGGAAAAGAGTATCTTTCGAACTGTAAGTGCGAATTTCAATGAAAGGATAAACAAGAGTTAGCTGCTATTTTTCTTTTTTCTCGCGATATTCTCCGTTAGACAACGCATCCAAAACTTTCATTGTTAGATTGGTTCTTCTAGAATTATAAAGATGACTGTGTTCTCTTAGTAGTTCAAATTTTTTATGTGATCAAATAACGAATATGGGTTTTAGTTTTTGTTGAAGATTTTAAAAATTTGTGCGGGTGGCTTACTTTACCTCGCTCAAGTAAATGCGTCAAGTATATGATTTTTTTTTTTTATTTTTCATCAACCTTGCAATATCATAGTATGTATAACATAATAGTAATGTCAATGTTTTAAATTTAAAAAATATTTGTTTAGTTTTCTTTCTAACGAAAATAATTATTAAGTTTGAAGGCAGAAAAAAAAGGTAGTTCTCAAAAAATATTTTTAAACACATCAGGGGTATTCATGCACTTGTTGTAAATGCTTAGTGTGCTATCATAAGCAGCTAGCACAAATTTTGAATGAATGATAAATATCCTACCTGTGCTAACGTGATAGAAAAGACTGAGTTGGTGGATTATATGGTTAAAAATACAGGTATTAGCAAGCATTAATGAAGATTCAGATGATTCAGAAGGAAAAAAAACTTGAATGCATAGATGAACTCTGTCTTGTACTTGCTGTCTTTTCATTCCATTTCTGTGGATATGGTACACAAACTAAGAACAAAGAATCAAACTCATCACAACCTTACAATAACCTTCTCCATGGGTTTAGGAAGTTAGTAACACTTTACAGGACCATATGTTGTATTAAAATCGAGAGCACTAGCGGCCATATTAAACACAGGTTTCGTAAATAATTTTCTGCATTTTAAACTTTTAGCAGGTTTACAATACTTAGCACTGGTTGCAGAAATACTCCTCTTGTAGTTTTATTATTTGATGGGCACAGCTTTGAAAAGTGCAGTAGTTTTTTTTTTTTTAAAGGCAGGTCAACTGTTCACCTATATGTTAGAATATTTAGGAATTTTCCATTTAAATCCTTAACAGTTATATTGATTAGTAAAGAATAAAACGTTCCTTTATTTGAACAATGCTCTCATTTAGACTGAAGAGCCCACTACTGCTGAAAATAGGAAGAGGTCTACGTTAATCGACTCTGTTGAAGTCACTAAAACCCTGAAGAGGTCCTTAAGGAGCTGAGGACAATACGGCCGCAGGACACTCGGCCTTATAAGGACTCCTTAAGAAGACTCCCACGGCCCCCCGTAGTCTAGTTAGCCATCTCCGCGTCCTATCTTTCCCGGATGGTATCTCCGTGTCTTCAGTAGCGGCTGCTGGAATTCCGGAGCCTGTCAGTAGTTGACTTTCTCCATGAAATAAACTCCTTTAAAGACAGGGTATGCAAAAAAAAAAAAAAAATTAAAATTAAAAACAAAATATTTAAATTCAGTAAACAGTTTCTTTTTCAGTTTGAATATTTCTTTTACCTCAATATGGTTATGTTTTAGCCAATATCAAAATACATTAAACCAATTTTAAAATTTTGAAAAAAAAAAAACGTAAAAAGTTTATCATTTTTATAGTTTATCAATTTTTGAAAATTAACCCATTTTTCATATCAAAACAACTTTTAGTTTGAAAATATTTATTTAGCTACATAATTTTTGTTGACTCTTCATGATGGAAAATGGGTTTATAAAAATCAATAAAATTATCTTATTATAATTATAATATTAACTATTTTTATTTTTTATAATTAATAATTACAATTAAATAATTGTTTCCATAATTTAAGGAAATTACATATTATAAACTAGTTTTAATGTTTGAAATTGGATTTAAGATATCATAATTTAAAATAACTATAATAAACCAAAAATATAGAGACATTATCTTGATCAATGTGAATCATTCCTTATCGCCTTCGAAAAAGTAAGATGCTAATTGTTATAAAATAAATATTAACAATAAATTATTGTAGCTATTTCGTTGGATAATACTAAGAGAAATATGTATAAATATGTAGAAATATGTAGAAACTGTTCACTTGTATGTTAGAGGCTAGTGGCTTTGTTAGTTTGGATTTTTGCATTTATTGACTTTCATACTTTATTTTTTTTGTAGCTGAAACAATCTTAGTGTAGTATGACTATTGTTATGAAAAAGGAGCAAACAAAAAATGTATATAATTATAAAATAATGTAATATATGAGTTATGTCCATATGGATTCGTTAGTACTACTGTTTATAAAGCAACTCGATGTAGTATAATTTCGATAATCTATTTCTCTCTAAATTTTAGTTAATGCCATTTTTGGCTAGATGGTCTGATTTTGATATCAATTAACTTGAAATTTGTAGTGATTTACGTAGAAAAATAATGTAGGACTTATACCATATTCTTCGGCTATATCCCTTTCCGACAAAAAGCAAATAAAATTACACCACGCTAAATACCAGTAAAAATGAATTCTCCCTGCGTTCTGTATTGAATATTGCCTTACTACCTTACTACGCTGAGATATACACCTGAACATCACCCCCTCCTCCCTCCAACATATCCCCACTCAGCTTGTAAATAACTCTAGATATCTTATTGCTACCATTTAGCGTGCTACGGTAGGAAAGAACACTACAATATATGTTTCTCTCAGCAGGAAATATGGGGCCCTAACCCATCAGTCCGCACGGTGGCGCTACATATTCTTCCACACGAGCCATTATATCTGCTATATTATTTATTATTATCCCGTTATTTTATTACTCTGTCCGGACATACTTTATCGTCCCACGCTCGGACTGGTACCGATAGTTCTTGTTCGAATTTGAATATTGGAAGTCGGGAACTCCTTTGGTCCTGTCCATACGATCTATTACTCCCTGACGAAACAGTCCTTGATTAGGTCATTAATTCTGTTTATATGAATATATTCGATGATATACGGTTCCTGAAAAACAAGGACGCAAATCATATAACTTTTATTCTTATCGGTTATATTAATATTAATAACATACTTAATGCCTGCTCAATCTTTGTATTTTTTTTCATTTCTTTTTTATCGTTTCCTTCTTGATTCAGCCCCCGGAACAAACACTTGAATTGCTAATGCTATGCAGCATAAATCGTGAATTCTTTTGTTTTATTTTCTGGAAAAAAAATTATATACGCATTTTCTCATGGCTGCGAATTATTTTCTGAGGCATGATATATTACACAATGATATAATATATGACTGATATCAAGGTTTTTACGTTTGAATTTCACAAATGTGAAATTACTTTCTCTCAAAAACTGTGAACATTTTTTATCGATTTACAACCCTAAGTTGCCTTATGGCAAAAAGATTTTTGGCCAGAGTAACATCATAAATGAATCTATTAATTTATAATATTTATTAATTAATTTATGAATCTATTAAGCAAACTGTACTTTATAAACTTTTACAAAAAAGCATGACAACGACTGATGTTCACTTCTCAATGGGGTTTTTCTCTATCATTTTATTCGTCTAGGCGTATTGAGTTTTTAAGTTATTAGGTTCCACTGCTATCATCCATCCATTCATAAACGCTTTGAAATATGTTTAGTTCGGTTCTAACATAAAAAAAATGCAGGTCATCACTACCATAATTAGGTGACAATTATTTGATTGACGCTTGATGACTAACAAATTAATCATGAATGATGAATAATTCAAAACGATTAATTGGAAGGTAATTGTTTTTCTAATCACATGAAACTATTATCATCTAAAAATGTAGTCGTTATTGATGAATAGTATTTTAGTTTTATTTTAGTTTTTTTAAATAATTTTTTATCGTAAATGACTAAAATTTTCGGAATTAAATAAACATTAAATTATAGCAAGTAATCCTCGAAGGACGATTACTGCATCCTTTTGTTTGTTGTATTCAAATTGTATTCTGAAATGAACATTAATATTTCCAAATTTAATTTTTATTTTATAAATTTAATTTTTTCAATTAAATTATTCAGATTTTTTATTTTATTAAATCGTCGACTTAATTATGTTATTTTATAAATAGTCTATTTAGGGCCAGTTGTGCAATTGGAGTTCAAGTCAAGTTCAAGCTTCAGCTACAGTCAATCTTTGATGATTTTCATGGAACTCCAATTGTTCAACTGGCAGAAAGTGTACCTCTATGTAGGAAATGTTTAACTTATTTTAAAAATATATAAATGCATATTTCTATTTGTAGTAATTATATTCATTATAATGCAAACCATTATACTTGTCAGAAATGAACAGCTGTTCTTAGAAAGGTTTCTTGATATGTTTTATTCGGATGTTGATTAAATTTATAAGAGTCTACCATGAAATACTTCTCTAATTAAAAAGAAAGAACTCAGAAATCGGTTCAAAAATAGTAAATTAATGGTTGTTTAACCATATATGAACATGGACAACATACATATGTGTATATATATATATATATATATATATATATATATATATATATATATATAAACACATATGAAAAATGGAGTAGAATTGAAAACCTTTTTCTTTTTTTTTAATCAGTCAGAAAAGAATTAAATAAAAGGGGCCGTATAGAAAGCAATACCTGAAAAATATTCTAAGTGAAGAAGATTAATTATACTAATTATTTCTGATCTATATCCAAGCTATTTAAAAATAAAATTGTTTTGATTATGAATATTTAGTTTATTTTAGAAAAAAATTACGGTTGCATAAAATTAAGCTTTAGGAAATTTTAAATTTTGTTTTTCAATTAATTATAATATTATGGTCAACCGAAATAATATGTTCAAATTAAGCGTTCTTCTAGCGTTTCCGAGCCCCTCTACATTTTCGAACGAACTCATGAGTCTGTACTAAAACTTCTGCCTTTCATAAGACTCTTGTCAACGATTTCGTTAGACCTAAACGGGATTGCAGAAATTACAATCTCTCTTGTCGAATCCTGGATTAGCCGTTGCTTTCTCGGCATAACAGATGACTGAATAGGCTTCCTGCAGCATTTCTGAATCAAATTGTTTTATAATCCTCATTTTGTGATTACTGAACAAATATTAGACAGTAACGATCCAGTTAATTTGTTTATTGAAACCCCTACAAAATATGTATAATAATGATATTGAATAAATTAAAGTAGTAATGGAATAAAGAAAGTGAACAAGGAGCAATAGACCACATATAAGAATTACATGGATGAATGTATTACAACGGAGGAAATAGGCAATTGCAGAGGATTAGAGTAGTAAATTTAGATAAATTATGGTTCACGAAAAATCACAAAAAAAAAACAAAAAACATCACAAATATAATTTATCGTAGATAGGGAAGAGAGGAAAGTAGAACTTAAGTATTACCCGACTGTTGTAAAACCGGTGATATTGTATTCGGTTGAAACTATATCGTTCACAAACATGGAGCTGTTGAAAACGGAAAGGAGAATCTTGCGAAATATACTCGTATATGGCCGAAGAAAACAGATTGAAAATACAGTGAGGGATAATCCGAAATCTTCCAAACAGGGAGACAAATAGACATCGAAGAGTAAAATAAGACTGAAAGTTAACGGACCACCGATGATGGTGGATAAAGGATAAAATAAAGGGAGCGGTATGGCTTCGCGGGTTAAAGCGTGTGTAAAACGAGGTAAATCGAAAATTATGAGCTCGAATCCCGATGCCGAAGGGACTTTTGTAAGTTTGGAATTGATCCACCGCCTTCGCCTCTGGTCCGGGAAAGACCCCTTATAGACGTAAAGGCGAGGTAGAAGAAAAAAAGATGAATAAAATATTGAACAGAATAAGCAAATTTTTATTCAAGTGCTTGACCTCAATAATATAAAGGGGTATCTGGTGCGGATTAGTGTTGCCCAAATGAAAGAGTCTTGCAACAGTCTTGCAGTTACCTATTAGCTTATTACCATATAGATATTACTGATTTTTTTTACATGAGAAAACCTTAACTAAGCCCGAATGAAAAATAAGAAGATTTAAATACAAAAGTATATTGGTTATAGCAATTCTGAACATATATTAACTAAAATTGTCAAGTATTACTAACTATTTTGCCTTAAATTTTATTCATAAATCGATTTTTCGATTTCGATGTCTTATTCTCGGTCTTGCAACAGCTAGACGGTCTTGGTCTTGATCTTGCACTTTGTAAGTCCAAGACCGATTTCGGGCAACACTAGTGCTGATTATGGACAAAACTGAGATAATGAGGGAGGACTGTTTGGATAGGGTTAAATTCTGGAAACGCATTAAGATAATGGCGGTCCTTGAAGTGGATAGAAAAGAAAGGAGGAAGAGGTGGTCTAAGAGGAGGAAAATACGACGCTCTGGGAGTTTAAGGAGGTGTGCAGGAAGGAAAAATAAAAGACTAAGTGGTCCTTAGTTGGAACTATCTAACCGATAAATGAAATAATAAAAAAATATAATAAAATGAAAAATAAAGTGATCATGAATGTTTCCATACGTTAGCATTTTTACAGTAAAGACTCACTTAAATGCTACACTAGTCTAGATTTTTTTTACGTTGTAGGTTGAATAGGTAATTAGATTTTCAAATTTGCTTTCACTCTTTTACTAAATAAATATCATTGATTTTTTCATTAGTACACTGTACCTGTTCCATTTCATTCAAAATAACTTCTGATTCCACCACTCCAACTGTTTTTATTATGAAGTGTCTTGAGATGATTCATCCCAGGAAGAAGCGTATATGGATGGCTTTAAGGAAGTCCTGCAAGGTACTGAGACCATGAAAGGGGTGACTTCGAGGCCATCTGCGGTGTTCTCTCACGCCGTATTGCTCGCATGTACAAATATAGTAGACGAACGACAGCTTTGTCCATTTAATATTTATCTGACTTTATTTATTCGTTTGAATTTCGTCAATAATAAAATTTGAATGCTAAATGATTATCATAAATTTAGTATGATCAGATATTCAACAGAAGTGATTCAATGCAAGTAAATCAACTTAAAGTTCATACCTCTCCGAAGATTTATGTCTATCGCCAGTGAATAACCATGGTCTTACTCCCTGTCAGATTCGTATATAGCTCGCATAAACCTATCTCGATTTATCATTGTGCATGAGTCGATAAAACTATAATCAATATTGGAGAGCGTATGCCCTGTGTAGTAACACAGGTTTTATGGTCGTAAAGAATGACCCTAAGGTGGTGCTTTGCATCCATTGTTGACCATATTACTGACCAGTTTGTCAATGTCAGCTCTGTGTACTCCGATGTGTCTCAGGACAGCGAGAGTTTTTTTTTTAGTATGGTGATAATGTGGTTTACTCTCTTTTATTATGCAATGTTATGTCTAGTGAATTATTATTGTCTTACCTGGCAGGCTGCATTATTTATCTCGGGAAGACTTCAGGAGGATTTCAATTATCATAAATGTATTATTTAATGACTTAATAATAACGTGTCATATTATTACGCATAAAGTTTAAAATACTTCGGTATGGTACTGGATTAATTGACTAATAAAATGAATTATAATAAAACAATATTAAAATTTAATCTAGAGCAATATATCATTGGTAATTGTAATACTACGATGATGAAAAATCTATGCATTTGGGCAGTGTAGATTATAAATGAAGCGTTTCTTTTCACATTCAAAAGTAGTCACATTAATAGAACTTGACAGTTACTGTTAGAAAAACTACCTAGTGAAAATACTGAAATAGTAACGAAATTCCGAAAGATCTCGGCATCATCTTCTTTTCAGAAGCTTGGAGGAATACCGTGAATTGACTGCGAAACAGGTTTAGAAACTATTTGATTTTGAACGGGAAGTGGGGTTGAAATGAAGGGTTCTGGCTTACGAGTTTTAATAAATTTCTTATTCGTCGTCCTCTTCGATATTTTATTACTTCATTTCTATTACTCATTTTTTTTTTAAGATGCTTTGATATTCTTTGGGATTAAAGTCGTTTTAGAAGAATCATATTGCTCAATTCACGTTTTCTATCAACGGATTCGTCTCAGTTACCTTCTAAATTCTTATTTTATATGAAATTATAAAATTGGATTAAATAAAAAATTCTGAAAATAAAAATAATTAGTTACATAAAATAAATAAAAAAAATTACTACTAAATAATCTTATCCAACCTATGGGAAACATATTTCCTTGTCTAATTAAACACCATGGTAGATTGTCAGTAAATCAAAATGAATAATAAGATTTCATGTTGTGGTCGGGTAACTTACGTCCTGTAACGAAACTTAAACTCATTCAGATTTTGACATGCACCAATGAATGAACTTATTCACTAGGAGCCGTAATGTTTTTACTGGAAGACATCCAACGACTAAGACAAGTTTAGCTATTCATATGCGTTAATTTTATTAACAATATAGCAATCTGTTTAAGTAGAAATGCTAGTATATTCCCTTGGATTGGATTATTTCTGCATTTTTTTAATTATTTTTTTTTAGTTTATCTATTTATATAACTAATAATTTTTATTTTCAGTCTTTTTATTTAATCAAATTTTATAACTTCCCTCTATATAAACAAGACTTTTGAAGGTAACTGAGATTAATCCGTTTATAGAAAAAGTAAATTGAGCAATTTCATCCTTCTAAAACGACGTTAATCCCAAACAATGTCAAAACATCTTAAATAAAAGATCTTATTTATATATTTCTCTATTTTTTTTTCTCTTTTTCTCGCCTCTACCCTAACGGGTCATTGGCGTTTTCTATATAATTTAAACTTTGATTTCTCTATTTATAATATTTATCACGTAAGATCACAAACTTGCACACTATATGATATAAAATTAATAAAAGTTGAGAATTGTAAGATTATTATAAAATGTTTTTCAGTATTTTAGCTCTAATTGTTTCAAAAGCATCAAGCAATCTAAGGTAGAATCTTCAAACTTATAAACGGTTAGCCAAAACAAAATCACTCTACCTTATATTATTTAAATTTCAGATTAAACAACGTTTATATTATAATATGAATTCATATTATAATATATTTTTAGCTCAAATTATCAAAAACTAGCAGTGACCTAGCACAGCTAGTAGTGACCAAACTAAAAACAAGTGTAATTATTAATTGGTGTGTTGGTGAAGAGAAAAATGTGGTGTAGTACTTCATAGCTCTATAAACTAGTGAATCCAACAAAAGGACGATATCTTACACTCAACTGCTAATTGGTCTAAAATAATTTGGGTGGAAAAAAAAAACTATGTGCAGTAATTATTGATTCATAACTATGCATATTATATTTATTGCAGACGGATAAATTCAAATGATATATTATGATACTCTTTTCACATTTTAAAGGGCTATTTCTTCGTTTCGTGAAATGGAGCTTCGTTACAGAAATCCACTTCAGGATTTAATTTTAGCTTTAATTTAAGGGAGCAATGTTGTTACTGCTTACTTATTATTATTATTACTGGACGTGACTGAATTCCACAACGTGACCTTATTGTAATATTTCCTTCCTCCTCGCAATCCGCATTCTAATTCCTGAAGACCTCCTTCGGACAGATGGAACAAACGTTGGTACCAGATTAGCTACAACATTTGCACATCACATAAAAAATCTCGTCCTTATGGATGGATCAGAGGATCAGAGTTCATTTGTCCTTTAGAAATAGTCTGTCGGAGGTAATTAATTCTTTTATGGCCTGGAACCCGTCCATTAAAGTCTAATGACGGGACTTGTAAAGGAATCATCAACGGGCTCTATTATCTTCCGTTATTATTTTTCTCACCGGCATTATCCCTAACGATCTTCCGTGGTAACGTCTCAAGACGAGGAGGAACAATCACAGGAGTACTCCTTTCATCCATTAAGGAATAACAATTTTATCTTTGTATAAATTTTATCTGTACAAATTAATTTGCTTCAATTGTATTCTTTATGATCTGGAAATATTAATAATGAATGAAAGAGAGCGAGTTTTTACTGTTGGTAATAGACATCTGTAGATAAAAAGCTATAAATTTTTACGACTGTAATATATTTTATTCTAAGATTTCTTATCCGTTAATTAATAATTATTTCAAGAAATAAATTTGTATTAACATTTTCTCCTCTGAGGTCGGATAAGATAATTAATTAACATGATTAATATTCTTTACACATTTCTATCAATCATCTTAATTACATATTCATTGAAAAATACGTTAATTAACTACATGATTTGAGAAAATATATGTGATAAATTTTTGCTTTCGGTAATTTGATATCCCAACAGTTTCTACTTACAATTAGTGTGACACTGTCTATAAGATTATTCTTATCTATGGTAGGTAATGCAAATTCCATTTTAGTAAACTTTGCAAAGGAAACAAACAGTTTAATAATTAATAGTCATATAATTCATAATCAATCGTCGATATAATAAATTGGATTTTTGTTTTAATGGTATTAATGATTAGTCAACTGTAAGGTTTAAACCTTAGCTCGGTTAAAAATTCAATTAAAAAATTTTATAATAGCCTAACATTACCAGAAGAACATTTATATTAAAGTAGAGCGGTAAGTGAAAGTTGTGTGTTGCGTGCACCAGATTTTTTTAATTTAATTAGTAAAAACGTAGTTATTTGTCTATCACTTACAAACGGTAAACTGTGACGAGAATCTAGAGAAATATTATGACTTAAGGTGGTAGATTTTCTATACCTGAGAAGACATTTTAATGTTTTTGCCTGCCTGCCTGTCGGGACTATACTTTATGCCCACGATGGTTTATCGCTGAAGCCCTCGCTCGTGAAAGTTTATACGTCCGCTCTGTTGATGAGATATTTCAGGAATATTTTTTGTCGCTTTTGTTTTAATGGATAGATACACAGGAAGCTGATAACAGAGGTAGGAATATAATAAATCCTTTGCAAGGACAAAAGAAGAATATAGAATGAACGGTGTACCTGGAAGGAGGAGAAGAGAGATTGAAGGGGGCGGTATATTCGGCCCCCGGCTCCGCTAAAAAAACTTTTTTTTCATTTTATTAAAAACTTGTGGCAACACAAATATCACTTATTCATCAGATGCAATTGAATGGTTTAAATAAATAGTTAACTTTCAATTTTATTCGAAAATATTTCCATCCCGAACTCCGGTGCCGGGGGAGTCTTTTAAACTTCGCCCACATCCCCTGACCCGGGAAAACTCCGTATAGCCTTGAAGGCTAGGAAGGGATGGAACCAAAAAAAAAAAAAGGGTATGTGGATGATTTTTACTTTCACTTATGTATATAGGTAATATATGGGAAGGATAAGTATTGCAATCTAGAAAATTTTTAAAAATTACTTTAAGTTATTTTATTTTATTTATTGTATATACTTTTTTATTATTATTTAGTTGTTATTTTGATTCTGTTTATTTTATCTTATATTTATACATATAGTGTGAATGTTATCTTACCTCCTCATAATCATTTTCAAAGTCATAGAATGTTATATTATTCAATAAATAAAGAATATATATATTATTTTATTTTTATTTTTGCTGTCACTTCGCCTTCATTTTTATATATTAAGTATGGATGTTTTTCTTTTTTATATATTAAGTATGAATATTTTTCTTTTTTATATATTAAGTATGAATGTTTTTCTTTTTTATATATTAAGTATGAATGTTTTTCTTTTTTATATATTTATTTGTTTTACTTATGATTTATTTAATTTGCTACCAATTTCTGTATTTATATATATATATATATATATATATATATAAGTTAAGCGTCGGCGGACTCTAACAATAAAAAAAAA